CAAATCTGAAAAGTTCTTACTTTGCTATAGCTGCATGTAGAAAAATAGAGATTTTTATCCTCTTAAACTTAGTTGAAGATTAATATATCTGTATTTTTTGTCTCATTCATGGGTTCAAGATAAAATTCTGGACACTTCTCCATTTATAACTTGAAATTTTACAAGACAGTTTCATTGGTTAACAAGGTTTCTGTAGCTAACAGGAAGCATTGTATGTTTAATTTTAATGCTCTGCAACTTTGGTCTCTATCCCTTATTTCAATTCTCATTTATCCGTTTTTAGTATGTAACTAAAAATGCTGATGGTGCCTTGGTTTAACTAATTGGTGACACCTGAGTGAAATGTGGATAAGTGAACCATTTTGGCAGTAAGCAGAGAAGTTAAAGCACACTTTTCTCATTAGTTGTCTCCCAGGCTAGAATTAAACAGCATAATATATTGCTAAATTTTAGTGATTTATGGGGGATCTGTTCTGAGTCAACTCAGTAACAGACTAATTGCACACTTATATGTCAGAACTTTTGTGTTATTTTTAAAAGCTATGTCATGTACATTGAGTATAATATGAAAATATTCTTTTAGGTTAAAAAGACTTATTTCAAATAAATTAACTTGAAATTAATAGATTATTATTCTATTTTATCACCTATTCAACTTTCAGAAAGTTCAAGCCTGATTGTGAGTCATTTAGTCATTTTTGGTACAGTGTAATAATATAACTTACATAAATGTTTATTGGTGAAGTTTTAAAAAAATTGTTCATTATAATAAATAAGACTTTCAAGATTAATTTTCCTTGTGAAACTGTTTGTCACATTTGTTTTTCTTTCCCTTTCTCTAAAATCCCAAGTAAAAAGGTGTACTAATAATTTATTGAGAAAGTTTTTAAAAATTTGCTCAACACATTTGGTTTTTGGCACATCTAAAAAGACTTTTAAAATAAGTTGCCTAATATGGAGAATGTCTGTAATTTTTTAATTTGCTTTTATCTTTTGTAGTTTGTGTGCTTTTAAATATATATACTGTTTTGTTTATGTAGGATTTTTTGGTGTATCTTTAGTCACAATTAAAAATGTTTACATGTAGTTTATGCTTGAGAATAATAGAATAAAACTTATTCTGATAAATTTATTTTTTAAAATAAATTTATTTTTCTTTTATTATCTTTTAATTATAACATTTGGTAGATTTAAAAGAATATACATAACATGTAAGTTTTGATGTAAAATTATACAATGAATACGATCAACTACTAAGAAGTTGATAAATTATTTCCTTCTTTATTCCACAGGGGAGTTTTTGGGGTGCTTTCCTAATCTTTTCTTCCATATTTTGTAGCTTTTTTGTTTGTTTAATGTAGGTTTAGATTCATTGGGCTTCTTGGGTTTGAGGTTTATTATCTTTCAACAATTTTGTAAAATTCTTAGCTGTTATCTTATTAACAGTATTACCTCTTCCCTATTCTTTAGTATCTCCCTCTGAAATCTAACTAGACATATGTTTGGTCTTCTTAATCAGTCCTCATGTCTCTTAACCTCATTTTAATAGCTTTATTTATTTATTTTTTATCAGATTCATTTTAAATTATCTTATCATGTGTCTTCCATTTCACTGAATTTTTCTTTAGCTATATTTAATCTGCTGTTTAACCTGTCTAATGACTTTTTTATTTCAACAATTAAATCTGTCACTTCCGTAATTTTTGTTTTTCTTAAAAGTATGTTCTTTGCTGATACTTTCTCCTTGTTTGCACCTCTTCATGATTCCACCATTGTATTGTAAACATTTTATTCATAGCTATTTTATGTTCTGTATTTGATATCTCCAGTGCTTAAAGGTCTAAACTTGTTGTTTGTTGATTTTTCTGACTTTCAGTGGCTTGCCTTCTGCAGTGCTTGTTGATTTTTTGTTATAGGAACCATTCACAGATCTTAATTTGTGGCTGTTACATGATAAGAATTGGAGACTTTTTTCAAAGAGAAAATTTTTATTCTGCTTTTTGCTAGTGGCTCTAGGGCCATTCCTCAGCAAGAAAATCTAAGGCTCATCAACCTCTATTTTCTATTGTTCTGGTTTGAGAATCCTAATTACTGTATATTCTTTCTCAAAGCAAATGCATCTGTTTTTTAATCTTACCTTTTCAAGAGATAACTAGTTTCAGCTATTTTCAGAAGTTATTTTGATGTTTACTTCTATATTTTTAAATAGCATGGTTTTTTTGCTCTTTTTTGATTGTTAATTTTAGAGCATTATTTATTTATGTCTTATCGTGGGAAATAGTAATTGGACAACTTTCTTCCTCTTTAGCTCTTATCATACATTCTTCTTATATACCCATCCACCCAATATTATTATATCATAAGTTCAGTTGATCAATTAAGTCATTTATTTTTTTCAGAATTGATATAGTTCTGTCTATGAATATTATTGATGGCACAGTCATATTGTAGCCAATGATTAGTTATCCTTTCCTCTTTAATATATGCTTTTTCTGTATTTATTAATTGTGTTTGTCGTTATTAAGTTTTTTATGTACCTGTCACTAACACACTTGTTGTCCTGGGGATTCCCATCACTTTTCTCCTGTATTGGATCCTTTGTCTCCTGGATCTGTTATCTGTTTTCTTTATTGTAATTTCTTCTTTTGGTGGAACACATTCTTTATTGTTAATCATATGTTAATCATGTGTGGTGTCTTATATTTATGCAATGTTATTATAAAATAAATTATATTACAGTGGGCTCATGTGATAGGAAGCAATTCATAGTAATTTGAATCTAATTGTAATTTTATTTCTCTGTATAGATTATAGAAAAGTATTTTAACCTTTAAGATTGAATTTTTTATATATATATATATATTCTTGAATTTCAATCAGTTTCTTAAATTCTCCATTTAAATGTGTTCAACTTATTTCTTTAAAATCAAAGGTTTTAATAATCAGTTTTTCATATTTAAGGCAATCTATTTCTCACCACCTGTAATGTTTTTGGAAAAAATTAGTTGTTATAAAACAAGAATGCTATTTAAAGTGACTCTTGATACAAATTGTAATACTATATTTTTGTTAGTTTTGGAGATGATAGTCTTTGATGTGGCCGATTTTATAGAATTATTTAAAAATTGGAAATAATTTTGGAAAAGTCCTATTTTATGCCCTTTGATATAATATAGCATTTTAAGCCTTTATTTTATATACTGCTAATATTTGATAAATAGAAGAATTTAGGTTCTTATGAGGAATTTGCATTTTATTTCAGGAAACATATATTAAATTGTATTTTCCAATTAACTTTAAGTGTGACTCTCCTTTTGCAGTCATCTTGTATTTAGCTTCTCTCATCATTCCTCTTTGTTCTGTATTTGAGTGAATTGTTGCTTACCAGCACATGCACATGGATGGGAAGATTGCTTATGTTGTCTCAGCATGCTGCTGAGGAATTTATTCTGATTCTGTGTCCCTGGGAGAAGTAGCACTATAAGTTGGAACCAGGAGTACACATGGCAGATTTTGCTTGCTTGAAAATTATGTGCAAAGCTTTGGGAAAAAAAGGGGAAATTTCTCTTTCTTTTACTCCCTCTCCTCTATCCTATTTCCTATCTTGTGCTTTACTTCTTAAAGGACTCGGTGTTAATACCAATTGTAATAATACTAATTGTTTAAATAATCTGCAATATTATAGAACAAATGGGCTTTTTTTCAGCTAACTTGAGAACCTATCTGCCCTTTATTCTGACTCTTTTTCAGCCTTTACTTTGTGGCAAGTACTTTTCTAGATAATAGAGATATAGTTGAGAGCAAAACTGACAAATACTCCTTCATATTCCATACATCTTTGTGGAGCTAATATTTTTTATCAAGAAATGTATGTAGAAATGCAAAAACTTATTTATGGATATAATAACCTGCACATAAATTAAAAATGCAATATTCTGATTTAGTTAAGTTCTATATAAGTTACTTTTTATTAGAGAGGGACAAAAATATTTCAGTTAGTAGGGTCGAATTGCAACATTTTACACTTCAGCTTTGCGTTTTATGTCAGAATGTTAGCCTGCATTTTATCTAGGCATCTCTCTCTCTTTGCTTCTGAAGATTTAAAGCTGTAATTTACAATAATTTCTTGAGTGGTTATAATAATACTTCTTTCACATCATGAATTAGTTTTGTAATATAAACAAAAAAGGGACATAATATTCCATTCTCCTGGCCAGTATAAAAATTGCTGTTTGCCTAAAAAAATAAGCTTATTATTCTTTTTTTTAAAGACAAATATAATTCACATTCCATAAAATTCATTATTTTAAAGTACATAATTTAGTGGGTTTTAGTAAATTTGCAAGATTATACAACAGTCACTGTTTTCTAATTTCAGAACATTTTCATTACTCCCTAAAGAACTGTGTATCTATTAGCAGTTATTTCTCATTCTCCCTTCACCTGGTTCTGGCATCTGCTAATCTACTTTTTTTCCTCTATGGTTTTGCCTGTTCTGACCGTTTAATGTAAGTGGAATCATACAATACGTGGTTTTCAGAGTTTATTCATGTTGTGGTATGTATCAGTACTTCATTCCTTTTTTACGGAAAGGTAATTTTCCATTGTATGGCTATGCCACATTTCATTTATTCAACAATTCATGGACATTTATGTTGTTCTCACTTTTTGGCTATTATGAATAATGTGGCTGTGAATATTTATGTACAAATTTTAGCATTGACACGTGATTTCAGTTCTCTTGGTATATATCTAGGAATAGAGTTGTTGGGTCATATTGTAACTGTACGTTTTGGTTTTCAAGGAAATGCCAAACTTTTCTCAAGTATTTGCACCATTTTACATTCCCACCAGCAATGTCTGAGGGTTTGAATTCTTTCATATCCTTGTCAACACTTTCCATTTTGTCTGTTGTATTATAGCTACCCTAATTGGTATGAAGTGATGTCAAGCTTATTTTTTATGAGGAGTTATAACAATTTAAAAATCTTGTGTTTTAGGTGCAGTACTTCTCTGTAGTATACAAGGACTAGCAGTTAATGTTGATCCAGTCTTATACACCTGGCTCATTTATCAGCCTCAGAAACGAACCAGTAGACATATGCAGCAGGTGAGAATTATTTTCATAATTCTCCAAATGAATAAATACTTTTCTCTGTCATTTATTAGAGTTATAAATATATTTTTCCGTTGATTTTATTTATGGGTGTACCAAATTCCTCTGTCTCCCATTCTACCCTTTTCAAGCAGTTCTGTTCCTTAGTTTCTGTATATAGAAATTATAACTTAAAGAAGAGTTTCATTGACAATTAAAGGAGCTTTCTGTGCAATTGCTTGTAGAGCAGACACATTAGAGAGACTGGCTTATGTAGTCCTGTTTTACTGTTTTCTCTCATAGTGTCAAATATTTGTTTATAGACTGTTTGATACTTAAGAATTTCTTAGTAAATGTTAGCTTCCAGTTTTGTTATCTCTACATTTCTTCATCTTTAGGTTTATTCAGCAAACAGGCATTGAGTACCAAACCATGGGATTAGAATGGTTGGTGCAAAAGAGTTGGGATATGTGTTTGTTTAAAGGGTATAAAAGTAGCTAATTGTAGTGTCTAGAATACTTAAATGTAATTCTTGTATGTTATGATAGTGAAAGGTAATTCTGATAGATGGGTTTTGTTATTTCCATTTAAAGATGAAGAAACTGATGCTTATTGAAATATACTTATGTGTTGTCATACATATAGTAAATCACAGAACTAAGAATTTTAGGCCAAATTCATGCTATATGAATTGCATTTTCCCATTGACTTAATTGAATTTTTGTAATATTCTGCTTGGAATAGCTTTGTATCTTTTTTTTCTGAAGCAACTTAAGGCTAGTTGATAGAAACATACACAAATTTATAATTACATAAGAATATAAAAAAATTAACTAAAAAGAGCAACCCATGTATCAAGGAGCATCTTCTAAAGTGGCCAAGAAATTCAGGGATTATGGAATCACTAAATGTTAGAGCATAAAGAGGTTTTCCAGTAGACTTCTCTACCCTTTTATTTTATAGATGAAGAATTTAAAGAATCAAAATTTACGTTATGCTGAGCATTTTTCTTCTAGGTCTTAAATACTATTCCCTATTTAGACTTGTATAAATATTGTCAGTATGACACAATACTTAATATGAAAGCAGGTACTTTACATTGTGATGTTTCCCACAATATATTTAATCTTCTCATTTTCTCATTATCAACTTTCTTGTCTTTTTACTCAGCCTAAATAACAATTTGCCTTTTCCCCTCTAGCTCATAATTCAATTGATTATATTACATAGTTATATAATATACCTATGTTCTCATTAAAATATTTATTCAGAATCTAAATATTAAGTACTGTAAGTTGAGTGAGACTTAAAGTTGGATCTACAAAAGTGTTATTGTTGTGTTAAGGTTAATGTTAGACTCTACTGCACCCTAACTAACCCCCTCCAGATTCACCATTTAATGCAGCTGTATTACAGTTAGCATCTGTTGTTTTCCAAGCTACAATTCCCTTCTCAGTTTGTGGCTAAAACCCAACATTTGATGATTGTTTTCCACCCAGTTCAACACTGATCTTTGATCCTGCAGCAAACTTAAAAATACCCTTTTTTTTTTTTTTTTTGCCAAAAATCTGACATGATTGTATTGAGCATCATCAGTAGTAACATCAGACTTTATTTCAGTGAATAAAGATGAAACAGCTGCTTTATTGTTCAGCTCAGCACTCATGCCTTCAATATAGGATCATAATGTGTTCCAGCTTTCTTCTAGCTATAGATATTTTTCTATGCTTTCTAAGTATGTTGTAGGTAGCATTTTATCTGACAAAATGTAGAGATGTTCAGCTGTTCTTTAAAAATATTGGACTGTCCATATTAACATGTACCTAATCAGTTTATAGAAGTATGTCTCTAAAATGTCATATTATAATAACTTTTCATTTTCTAGTAATCATAATTTTCAAAGTTAATTTTAGTTTTGATTTGTCCTTACTGTGTTTTTATACTTCTTACTAAAGTTTATATTAAATTTAAGTATTTTCAAGTTCTCTTTGTTTTCATTCAGAAGTATAATTTATAATTTAAAATTTAAATTGTGTTTCTGTGTGAGAGCGAGTTTGTGTGTGTGTGTGAGAGAGAGACAGAGAGAGAGACAGAGAGAGCGAGCGAGAGTGAGCATGCAAGTCACTGAGAGATAGAGATGAAGAGGGAGGGTGAGAGAGTGATTGTTTGATTGACTAATTGATTTAAAATAATAAAGCCTCAACCCCAGCTTATGAAGGACTTTCTTCAATGATGCCATGTTAAATCTTCTCTTAGAAATAGTAAATAATTCAGGTTTTCATTTGACTTTCCAGCAGCCCATGATAGCTGTTTCTCTTGTTATGCCAATTAACAAAAGGAAAGAAGATGAGATGTCTGTTGGAAGTGCGCCCTTGGCAAAGCAGCAGTCATGTCAGGCCTCTGAGTATGCCAGCAGCCCAATAAAAACAAGAACAATGACAGGTATGTGTCAAGAACTCTACAAGGTCTATGATTTTATCCTTCCTCTAAGCTAATAAGTTATCAAGTTATCCAGGCATCAATTTCATGAAAGCTGGCCAAAGATAGGAGATTCCTAAAACAGAGACAGGATTTTATTATTTACAGTGTTACCAGTAACCAGAGTGTTAGCATTTTCTTGTATCTCTACCCTGAGCCTAATTTCCAAAGGATTTCACAAAGAAGGGTCCAGGTAATACCTATATACAGTGGGTTAAATTACAGGCCAGGAACCTTCAATCGAGGTAACCTAAACTTTTTATAATAGGTAGAAAGCTTGCCTGCTGTTTTCACTATATGTACCTTGTAAAACTGTAAGTAAACTTATCCTTTGCTCCAAAGGAGGGCAATATTTCTGCTGTATGATGTACAGATATCCTGGAAAACACAATTGAAAACAAAGGCACTCACTGCCTTCACTTGTAAGACATGCAAAAACACAAGAGACCATGGAGAATTGTCTCTCAATAGTATGTTCCTTCTTAAAGTGAATTCTTGCAAATGACAGTACATCCCAATCTTCTTTCCTCGCCCTTCTCTCACTTTCTCAGATACATCATCCATGCAAATATAAACCGTAAATTTTCTTCTATAAAATTATTTCTTTTATTTCTTTTTATGTAATAAAAAAAGCACTTTATGATTTCATTTTAAGTGATGTTTTTTCTCTTTAACTTATGTTTATGATGATGGGCCACCTATCTTCAGATGATTTTATATTTTTCTTTAGATGTTCAGCTTTATTTTACATAACTCATTACTAACCATATTGAAAAAAGTTTTATATTTTAAATAAGTCAAAAAACACTTATTGAATATCTGTAATGAAAAGACTGTTGTAAGTGATATCGAGGGTAGAAATATTAATAAGACATGATCCCTGCCCTTAAGGAATTTGAACTATGATTGTGTATGTAAGGATGTTCAAAATAACATTTGCGGTTTAGTGGAAAACTTAGTATTATTTTCTTGGGTATAACATTTATTCTTTACAACTTATGTGTCTTCCCCCTTGAACAATCACCATTTTTATTTTTCTGGAAACCTTGATGGTAGTGCTCTTTCTTTTCTTGAGAATGCTGTGTGCCAGCCATATTCTTAATTAAAATTGAGTTTCAAAATTTTCTGTTTTATTTTTAATTAGAGTATACAGTTTCTGTTTTGGTTTTAATTTAAAATGTTTTATAAGCCCTTTGAATTTTTGCCTACTTCTAAATGTAGTTTTCATGGCTTTTATTATTTACACTGCATCTTAAAATGTAATGAATTTGGTAAGGTATTCATAGCCTTTTACACATCTTTTTTGTTGTTTTTGTTTTACTTTTACCATTTGAACCTTTAACTAAATTTTACAGTGGAGAAATATTAGTGTTAATTTATGACTGAATTTTTCTTAAAATAATTTTTTATTTTTATATTCTCAAACTAAGGTCCAGTATTGCTCTTAAGTTCATCCCCAACAACTTATGTAGTACTTTTGGCACATGATAACCAAGGCTTGCTGATAATTCACTGGCCTTGATTTTGATTTTAATTATTCAACAAGAAGCAGACATCTTTCTCTTCTAGTCTCAATTCATCAGTGCTAAGTAGCTGGCTGCAGTGGGAACATGTGCTTGATGGCTGGAAATGTGTTGACAGCAGAACAGCACTATTTTGGTGATACAGGCACAAAGGATCGGCCAAGCCATAATAAAATCATGTTTCACATGAAGATAATATATTATTACAAAATTATAAATAACCTTCTAGAGACTCTGTTTATCCCTTCAAAACAAGAAAACCCCTAAAAGATCTGTTTACCCTATGTTTTAGAAACATTGTAAACATTAATTAGGGGCTCTTGACAAAAATGTCTGTAATGGAGATGAAAACTGTAAAGAATAAAAGATACTCCATAAATGACAGCTCATTAAAAAATACTGTCTATTATCATTTTACATGTTTATACATTCCTTTTCAAGTCTAAAGCACTGTAAGTATACAGTTAAAATAATAGGCCTTTTTTTATTCATTGAATGCTCTTATTTTTAATTACAGTTGATATTCAGTATTATTTTATATTAGTTTCAAGTGTACAGCATAGGGTTAGACATTCATATAATTTACAAAGTGATCCCCCCAATTAGTCTAGTACACACCTTGCACTGTACATAGTTATTGCAACATTATTAACTACATTCCCTAGGCTGTACTTAACATCCCCATGACTATTTTGTAACTACCAATTTGTACTTTTCAGTCCCTTCCTCTTTTTCACTCAGCCCCCAAACCTCTATCCCATCTGGCAACCAGCAGTTTGTTTTCTGTATCTATGAGTCTGTTTCTGTTTTGTTTGTTCATTTATTTTGTTCTTTAGATTCCACATATAAATAAGATCATATGGTATTTGCCTTTCTCTGTCTGACTTATTTCATCTTCTAGGTCCATTTGTGTTGTTGGAAAGGGTAAGACTTCATTCTTTTTTATGGCCGAATATTATTCCATTATACATATGTACAAGTTCTTTTTTATTTGTTTGTCTATTGATGGACACCCGAGCTGCTTCCATATCTTGGCTGTTGTAAATAATGCTGCAGTATATTCAGGGGTGCATACATCTTTTCACATTAATGTTTTGGATTTCTTGAAATAAATACCCAGAGGTGGAATTCCTGGGTCATAAGGTAGTTCTATTTTTAATTTTCTGAGGACCCTCCAAACTTTATAGTACTGGTGGTACCAATTTGCAATCCCACCAACAGTTCGTGAGGGTTCTTCTTTCTCCACATCCTTGCCAACACTTGTTTGTTAATTTATTGGTATTAGCCATTCTTACAGTGAGGTGATATCTCATCGTGGTTTTAAATTGTATTTCTCTGATGATTAGAACCATTGAGCACCTCTTCATATGTCTCTTGGCTATTTGTAGGTCTTTCTTGGAGAAGTGTCTATTTAAGTCCTCTGCCTTTTTTTTTTTTTTTTTTAATTTAAATTTGTAGTGTTTTTTTTCTCGGTGTTGAGTTGCATGAATTCTTTGTAAATTGTGGATATTAACCTCCTTATCAGATGTATCATTGGCAAATATCTTCTTCCAATCAGTAGGTTGACTTTTTGTTCTGAGGATGACTTTCTTTGCTGTGCAAAACTTAAAATTTGATTTAATCCCATTTGTTTATTTTTTCTTTTGTTTCCCGTGCACGAGGAGATAGGAAAAAAATTACTAAGAGCAATGTCTTTGCTCTTTGTTTTCTTCTAAGAGTTTTATGGTTTTGGATCCTTAATCATTTTGAGTTTATTCTTGTATATGATGTAAGAAGGTGGTCCAGTTTCATTTTTTTGCAAGTAACTGTCCAGCTTTCCCCAACACCATTTATTGAGTAGACTGTCTTTTTCCCATTTTATATATTTATCTTTTTTTGTCATAGATTAAATGACCATATAGGCATGGGTTTATATCTGGGCTCGCTATTCTGTTCCATTGATCTGTCTATCTGTTTTTATGCCAGTGTCATGCAGTTTTGATTACTGTAGCCTTATAGCATAGTTTAATATCAAGAAGTGTGATATATTCAACTTCGTTCTTCTTTCTCAAGATTGCCATGGCTATTTGGGATCTTTTAAGTTTCCATATAAATTTTAGGATTATTGGTACTAATTATGTGAAAAATGCCATTAGTATTTTGATAGAGGTTGAATTGAATCTGTAGATTGCTTTGGATAGTATGGATATTTTAACAATGTTAATTCTTTCTATGTATGATTACTTTATATGTTTCCATTTATTTATATCTTCATTTTCTTTCTTTGTGACATATAATTTTCCAAGAACAGGTCTTTAACCTCCTTGGATAAATTCATCCTAGGTTTATTTTAGTTTGTTTTTTGACACAATAGTAAATGGGATTTTCTTAATTTCCCTGTCTTTTTTGATAGTTTGTCATTAGTGTATAGAAACACAACCGATTTCTGAATGTTAATTTTGTCCTGCTACTTTTTTGAATTCCTTTATCAGTTCTAATAGTTTTTTGGTGGAATCTTTAGGTTTCTGTCTATATAATATCATGTTATCTGCAAATAATGAATTTTACTTCTTCCTTTCCAATCTGGATGCTTTTTCTTGTCCGATTGCTCTGGCTAGGATTTTTAATATTATGTTGAATAAAAGTGGCGAAAGTAGACATTCTTGTCTTGTTCCTACTTGTAAGGAAAACACTTAGCTTTTCCCTGTTGAGTATGATATTAGCTTGTGTTTGGTGTAAATGGCATTTATTATATTGAAGTATGTTCCCTTTGTTCTCACTTTGCAGAGAGTTTTTAATTATAAATGGTTGCTGGGTTTTTTAAATGCTTTTTTCTGCATCTATTAATAGGATCATATGATTTTCATCCTTCATATTCTTTATGAAGTTTATCACATTAATTGATTTGCAGATATTGAAACAAACTGGCATTCGAGGAATAAATCTCTCTTGATCATAGTGTATGATCTTTTTAATGTATTGCTGAATTTGATTTGCTAATATTTTTTTGAGGATTTTTGCATCTATGTTCATTTGGGATATTGGCCTATAATTTAATTTTTTTGTAAAGTCTTTGGTTTTGGAATCAAGGTAATGGTGGCCTCATAAAGTGAGCTTGGGAACTTTACGTCCTCTTGAATTTTTTAAGATAGTTTTAGAAGTGTGGGTGTTAATTCTTCTTTGAAAGTTTGGTAAAATTCGTCTTTGCAGTCATTTGGCGCAGAACTTTTGTTTGGAGTTTTTTGATTACTGATTCATTTTGTTAGTAATAATTGATCAGGCCAGAGTTTCTGTTTCTTCTTGATTCAGTCTTGGAAGATTGTTTGTTTCTAGGAATTTATCCATTTCTTCCAGATTGTTCAACTTGTTGGCATATAATTGTTTATATTATTTTCTTATAATTTTTTTGCATTTCTTTGGTGTCAATTTTTATTTCTCTTTTATGTCTGACTTAATTTATTT